TTTTTGTTGTATGCTGGCTGAATTATATTTAAGAGATTTGCTGAACAAAGCAGAGGAAATAGATGAGCATTAAAGGAATACATTTTTACAGCTTTTGCAAATTCTCTTTGACAGGACCATAATAATTTTGGTACTTTGACCTTCTGTGCTCTTAAAATAATTGAAAAAGCTCTTTGGCTGTTTAATTTGGAAGTTTTGACAATTTTATGAGAAGGTTATTGCAGTAAAGAATAATCATTTGCCGACCTTTCTGCCTAGGTTGAACCACGTAAAAAGAGTGTACACTTTGTCTGGCTTTTTTTTTTTGTTATTTTTGAGACATTAAAAACTGCTTTTTTTTGGTTTTTATTTTTTATTTGCTACAAATAGATGAAGCTATGGAATTGGCAGAGTCATTTATCTATAAAGATCTGTTTGCCTGATAAATGCTGAAGTAATTTTGCTTTCTATCCTTTTTTTCTTTTTTCTTTTTTTGTTTACGGTTTCCACATCAAATCTTTTGGAGCTCAACTAAAACCGGCAAACCTGTTTGCTGCTTCAGAGGCACAAAAGTGTTTCCGCTAAAATAGAATGAAAAACTAAAATTATTTTGTATTGTAGCTTGCGATATTCAACAGTTAGCTATATTTTCCGTTTGTCCTCCTCTCTATGGATGAGTTTAGTCATGAAGGTGATTCTCAGATGGTATCTTCGCAACTTGCTGCACATCGGAATGCCATTATTGTATGTTTATTGTGCTACTTTTGTTTTCTTTATTTTTCTTCTGCTCTCTTTGCTTCAGTTTGACAGTTAGATAGAAATCAGGTAAAAGGAAATCTGGTATACCCGTAAACAGTTTAACAACCGGTAAAATACTTGTTTTTTTTACGCTAGAAATTGCACAATATCGTATAACTTTAGCGAACTCAATCTTGATTCTACTTTAGGCTTTATCGAAGATTTGTTTCAGGCTCTATTATCAGCTCAGATTTTTGGATCTTTGGTGATGACGGGTTTAACGATCAGTAGTGTTTCACCGGTGTTAATTGCATCTGTACTGTCGTTAATTTATACATGGAAACAGTTTCGAACAACTTCTGAATATCTCTTACTGAAAACCAGACGAAATTGGTTGTCGTCTAAGTCACGTGTACGTTTATTTTATTAGTAGAGATACAGATTAATTTTTTTTTACCTGTAATAGTTTCAGTTGTTTTTTATTTTTTCTTTTTCGCCAATTTTCTGATGCATTTTTTGTTTATTTGTGTAATAGCATACAAAAAAAGAACAATTTTGATACCAAAATAAAGCAAATAAAAGTTTTGTTTTGGTGGAAGTTAATATTTTGTTGTCACTGTTACTCTTTTTGTCGCAGGTATCTTGACAGGTTGTTAATTAGTTTCTTGGAACACATATAATGCTTTTTCCTGACTTTTTAACATTAGTTTAATGACAGTTTTATCGTTTGAGCAGGAAGTTTTGTATGAGTCACAGCGAAACGTAGACATAAGAGTTACATGTAATGTTTTGTTTTTTCCGTTGAGTATGCTGATCTATTTATAGTACCAATGTTAAACTAAACCAATCTTTGCAACCAGTTTTCTACCATTTAACAAAAAAAAAAAAAAAGAGTAGTCTAAACTTGTTTAATTTTTTTTGTTTGTTGCTTTTGCTATAATTTTTGTGATGAAGGTCATTAATGCCTTCAGAAGTTTTGGTTTTTGTACATTTCGTTTTCTATAGTGACTGCATACAGTTGCTGGGGTCTAAAAAGATTAAAGAAAAAAATTGGTTTAGTTCAACAGTGATGAATTAGTTTATTCTTGAAAATGACATCGTCAAATCTGAGTACGATAATGCGGCCTAATAGATAGCGAAGAAACAAAAAAAAAAGCCAAAGTTGTAGACTAATATCTTACTTTTTTTGCTTTTATTGACCTAACAATTTGCATGTATTCACTTCAAAGTCAGTAATTAAGTTAATAAATTTTTTTCAAAAATTTATTTTTATTTCTTTTTGTCAATGTTATCTCAGTCTAAAAAAAATTGTGTTGTTTTTTTTCAACGACTGCTTTTATACTTTATTGACTTAAAAACTGAAACTGATACTTAAGTTTCAAATCTTATACGTTCAAAGAAGTGAAATTTTGAAAATGTTTTATTTGGAAAAGAGTATTTTAAAACTGATATTGTAAGGTTACAAAAAATGAATATTTCTAAGCGGTTTCAAACTGATTAGTACTGGAATAAGAAAAATAAAATTTTTTTTGTTTGAATTACCAAATAAAGCAAAAAATAAGTGGAAAAAAAAATAAGGTTGACAGATCACAGTTGGTAATAGCAGTACCAAAAATTAAAAGTTATATAGTATTAGTGGATTCTCCTTTTGGCACTATTGAAGAAATGTTCCTCTGTCTCAAAAAATTATTTGGTGAGTTGGAAATGATTTGGTTTAGTAAATTTAAGCAGTTAAAATTTTGAATTATATATATAACTAAAAAAAGTGTAAAACTAGTAGCATTACTTCCACTTATAATTTTTTTTATCAAAGCAAGAAAAAAAGTTAAAATTTACTGATAATATTAATTGCAGATGCATACCAAAGTCTACGATCAAACGCTAGCATCAGTGATACAATTATTGTCCTTATCGTTGACAACCAATGTATCATCAATTTATCTTCACTACAATTTGGTAATATTTTCTGATAAATTTACAAATAAATAAGCTAGAAAAACTTTTAGTTATTGTTTGGTTTTTATCTCATTTCTGAACCTATTATTGTGCTTCTTCTTGTTTACTATAATTGCTAATTTGTTTAAGATGCAGTCAAACTTTAACATTTTTGATTTTGCTGGACAATTAGTTTCATATATTCCTATGCGTAGCAAAAACTGTTTTTCAAGTAAATTTTCTCTCAAAAAGCTGAATAAATTGATCAATTATATGGGTCTACCAGTAGATTTATTGATACTCCATTGGCTTGTATATTTTATTTCATTTCTTCTGCAGACAGATATTGAATCAGAATACAGTTTAAACAAATAAACCATGAAAGTAAATCTTGTTTCAGTTTGTTACCTATGTGACGCTTATGGTATCTTTCTCGTATAACTGGTGTTTCCTCTTATTTCTACTCTCATCTTTACCCGTCCTTCCAAATCGTGCAGCAGCAGCAGCAGCCTAATAAACCTGTTCATGACATTCTTTTATCTTGAACCTTTTGTTATCCAATCAAGAAGACTTTTTGCCTAACAAATGATGCTGGCTAAAAGTCTCAGAAATTGTTTAAGCAAACTATTTTTGTTTATATTTGTGGTATTAATTTCTATACATAAGAATTTATGTAATACGTGTAAAATTGATTTTGTACGCGCAGAGTTTATGTAATTTAACAGTGTTCTCTTAAAATTATAATGAGGTTTGTTGTTATTTTGTGATTGAATTGTTTAATAATTGAAGTATCTGTATATTGCGGAATAAATACTGGTAACTTAAAATGTGTAGAAGATGTTAACGAATATTATTTTGTGACTTGTAATATAATCGGAAAGAACAAAATAAACATTAGTTTTTTTTTTTTTTTTTTTTTTTTT